ATTAATAAGTACCTCATACAACCTCAACCTCAAATCCACACTATCCCTTTCAGGCAGTGATTTTTATAATAACAAATTTTGCAACTGTGCTTTTGACTTCTAAAATGGCAAAACTGTGTAAAGTTACTTTAGATGATCACCAGTGAAAGTCTAATTAATGCTCACAGAAGGAGCTGTAGCTGTCTGAGTGCAGGTCTTAGTCCAGTAACAGATTGTTGGTTCAGCCACATTAAAACATGCACATCTGAAGTGAGCAGAAAAGAGCAAAAATACAGATTTTTAAATGTTTTTTCTAACATTCCTACTAAACTTAGTCAGTAATGGAAATAAAAACTCTCTAACACTAAGAAGTGGGTGAATTTCTCTAAGACTGTATGTATATCAAAGAGACATTTCACTGATTAAAAAAGTTTGTATTGTAGATTTTGTCACTCTGTCACTCTTGCATCAGATAGATTGAGAAAAGATTTTTTAATACAAACTGTCGGCATGGAGGTTTCTTTAATTTTTCCTTGCCTAGTTTACCAACATTATGGAAGTGAATTAGTTATAATAAAATGCAAAGAAGGACAGAGTACGGCAGAAAAGCCGTAGGCTGCAGAAAAGCACATGTCTATGCAGCATCCTTCCCTTTACATCTTTACAAATGCACCACTACCACTACAAACAACTTTACCTTAGGATGTCAAGCAAACATAAAACCTTCCATAAACATAATGGGCAGGAGGAGTGACTGGCCATAAAGTTCAATATTGTTAAACTGACAAACACTGACATGAGGTCAGGGGTGCCCGCACTAATCAGGCAATTAAGGCAGGCATTCTTTAAAAGATCATTATCACCCTGGTAATGACCAGTGTGGGATCACCAGCCAAAATCGATGCAATGGAGCAGAAATTGGCTGCAAACCATAGTGTCAAACTATAGGCTTGTGCAACTCATACTATGGTTAGTAACATTTTAGCCTCTTTTTGCTCATTGTTTTGGTTTAACAGTCTCCATATTTACTGTATGGTTCAGTCAGAGCCACATGTGAATAGCATGTTATTAAGTGTAGGCTGTTCAAGGCTTAGTAAAAAGGATTAAACTAACTGCAAAAACAGTATTGGAAAATATTCTCAATACCTCATATCTTCACCAAATCACCATATTTAAGCTATTTCAAAGTAACTTCAATGTAACGTAAGACTTCAGTATTGTAATCAGTGTCAGTAGCTTGCAGCTCAGCCTCAATCTAACCTTAAAAGCGGCTTAGCGGACCTCTTAGAAACCTGCTTACTGCAGGGCATGTGAGGAAATGAACTCTGCTAAACAGCTACTGTGCTTTAGGTGGATCTCTCATACACAAACAAACACACACACACACACACACAAACAAACAAACACACAGACACACAGTTCGTTTCAAGCTTACTGTACATACCACAGGTAATTAAGTAGATCTTTTTTTAGTCTAATTAGACAATCACATTACGCTGGTAGAGATTCACAACATCACAAAACTCTTAAAATAACACCTACGCTTTTGCATTTTACACATGAATAACCATAAATCATCTATTTGTGACACTGGTGTCATCAGTTAAATATGACAAATTTCTACAGACTGTTTTTCTGACCTTTCAGGCAGTGTTTTCCTCTCAGTGAACTTCATCTTGTTAATAGGATTTGTGACAGATGATGAAGATTAAGTTTAACACCCTGGTGAAATGATGGAACGTTTTAAGTCTACAGCTTATATCCACACGCTGACGCTTGTTTGACTTGATGCCAAACAAAGTTGGATTCTACAGGATCAAAAATGCAGAGACCCAAAAAAGGGAATCATCTGTTCATGTCTCCCTCACTTATAGACTGCAGCTGAGTTACAACTTCTGCAAAGACTAATTGCACTTTTCTTTAATTGGCATATAACATTAAAGATGGATTGATAAAGGCAGATTGGTGCCTCAAGTTAGCTGATTAACCTGGTTGTTTTGTGATAATAGTGCTGAAACCTGACAATTCCACACCCAGAATCACAAACAAAAACTAAATCAAAGCTCCATTTCATGTAATTCTAAACAAACATGTATGTAATTGAGACCACTGTCATCGAGACTGGCTGAAAGCAGAAGTTGTATCAGGAGAGATCTCACTTTACATACGTCACAACACACTCCGCTCAGCTTGGCAGTGGCAAGTGCTATTAATACCAACAATGTATTTATCTTTATTACCTGTGCTGTGTGCTCCCAGTTCAAAGCACTTCAGTGAAATATTAAAGTCTATTTGTTGAAACTACAACCCTGTCTCCTTAGAAATAAGTATTTCATTGTTGGGACAACTTAATCACTGTCTGGATTAAGTTCAAAGACATAAAAAATAATGCTGTAGTCATGACAAGGAGATACTGCATTGCAAGATTGACTATTTTGGTGCAGAACGAATAAAATACGTTGTCAGTGTAGGGATGCACCAATCCGATATCTGGATCGAACATCGGCCCCGATATCATCAAAAAAGATGGATCGGGTATCGGAAAATGCAACCTATACCTGAGGCGATCCTTTCCACAGTCATACTGTACGTCATGGAGCAACGGAGAGAATCTGCTGTGTGGAGGTATTTCACACTATTTCAACTGCTGTTGCACAATTGTTTATTTTTGTTAAAAATAAATAGTTCATCATTGCATTAATCTCTCTCATCTTGTTTCATTTTATCTTAGGAAAGAACTGTGTAGTCATCAACGCCTGATGCCTCTAGTCTTTTCTGTTCTACATGTAAAGGTATTTAGCTTTTTAGGTCAACCATAGTATCGGATCGGTATCAGGTATCGGCTGATACTCAAAGCCACAGCATCGGGTTCAGTATCGAAACTGAAAAAGCTGGATCGGTGCATCCCTATGTCTGTGAACATTTTGATGATATGTTCGGTATCAACATTTTCACAATTTGCCAGGTACGTTAGAGGGAAACACCCAAATGTAGAATTCAAATATGATACTTCCATGGCCTCGAAAAGTTCTGTCAATATTTGTGAACATCTCTCAAAGCCAGAAACAAGAGAAGTAAGTCTCAAACTTGTGATCATCACATATACAGTCTGAAGCTGCTCCACAGACAATGGATGAGAGCCTGAATTTGTGGACCCAAAAGATGCTTTTCTTTTTTTATTCCCAAATGGGCTGTATTCTATCGTAGTGCTCTCAGCTGTGAAACAGATAATGGACCCATATACTCAGAACGTTCCCCTGGGTGCTCTCAGTGTCATCTAGACCATCTTTTCCAATTCACTGTCTATGGAGCAGCTCCAGACTTTATATCCTGTGACACCAAAGTTGAGTTTTAGCACTCTATCTTTTGAATTTGGTTTTTCATACTTAGTAAAATTGTCGGACTATTTTAGACCACAGCAGTAACGTGTATGAATGTTGAAAATGGTTTACTTTTAGGTTTACTTCAGTTTATAACATTTCCCTCAAAATGTATTGCTCCTTTAAATTAGCTGTATATAAATGTAATTCTGACATGAGATGGGTTCATCCATTACAGTGAACATCATGCCTCTATCTATCTTTATCATATTTGCAACTTTGTTGAGCGGAAATGCAGAGAAATCTTCTCAAATCAATCTGCACTTACACCTGCATTTACTGTGAAAATATAAAAAACAATTCACTGTAATGAATGCATAAAAACAGTATAACACCAAAAGTGGTAGACAATGTGCCAGATGTAGTTTAGTGTATACTGTGTAGTGTGTACAGAAACTTAAAGCGGTTTGAAATGTCATTGCCAAAAATATGAACAGAGATTGAAATGTCTCTTTAAAGAACAAATACTCACATATTTTTAATATAGAAATGATTATTTTTTGATAAAGAATTCTCTAAACAAACTTGAATTCACAATAACTGCGAGGACGTACGCACATGTATCGACATGTTCACGCATTTACACACACACACACACACACACACACACACACACACACACACACACACACACAACCACACACACAACCTCACACTCAGTCAAATGATGCCTTCCTTAAAACTAGTTCGAGTTATGAAAGGGGACGTGGCAAAATGGTGTGTGTATGTGTGTAAGTGTATGCCTGTATATCCATATAGGGGTGTGTGTTTCTTTGATGTCTGGACATGCTATGTGAATCCTTTCAGCAGGTATAAACCTCTTTGCTATAGGCAACTACCCCCCTATTCGCCTCAACACACCCCACCACCCCCACCACCATCTGGATGTCAAACACTGAAGTATTGTGTTAAACATGATTCAGGTTAGATACAGCTACACTGTGCTGTGACAACTTCTCTGTGTTTTTCGCCACGACCCAGATTTTTAATGGCACTTCAACAGACCTGTGGGAACGGTGGACCTAACAGGTAGAAAATAGCAGCTATAATTAGGTAAAGTTAGCTCGTAACATTAGCCTGACAGCAGTTTATTGATGTACACAACTGAAATATTAAAGACAGGAAAAGTTTTTGGTTGCTGTAATTGTTCCTCCTCTCCATACTGGTCATGACAGGATCCCTTCCTATGTGATTCCAATGAGGAAATAGGGCACAAACCACAGTCTTTCAAAAATGCATTTCAAAGTTTAAAATCTCAAGCATGTTTACTCACTCGACCAAAAAGAGGACGACAGTTGTTGTTAAAAAGTTATACATAATCAAAAATCTATCATTTCTCAATGCAGTTTTGGACTAACTAATTCCCCTTAAACACCTACTAAAGCCCTAGAAATCCAAAATATCTTTCTCTGAGAAGTCTTAAAATTCACTCAATGTAACCCCCCTTTGTCTCCTTGACATACTTTTTATAAGGAGAAACAAAACCAGTCCTGAAAACTGAAAAACTCACATCAAAACCTAAAGAGAGGGGAGTAGGAAATGGAGAGGAAATAAAGTGTCTAAGTTCATCTGAAGACTATCTGCCCCATCACATCTAATCTGTGAATGAAAGGTGAAACAGCAGCGGTGGTGTGGACTCACCTCGCAGGGCAGGGAGCAGCGAGCGGTCCTTCCTATCATCACATTTGTTACACTCGCTGAAGTAGAGCAGCAAGAACACATCCACCAGCACCCACACTAAAGAGGTGGTCAGCACCACCTTACAGTAGACAAACCGTCGCATCACCTCCCCGGGACGTCAGCCAGGAAAGCCAAACAAGAGCGGGTTACAGCGAGTGCTCAGGAGCGCTCAGTCTGCTGACAGGGCGTTTGAACTCTGGAGATGGGGTGAGGAAGCAGGGAGGAGACCGAGCAGGTGTGACCGAGAGGTGTCATCCTATGGGAGAGAGAAAACACTAAATGAGAAGGTGGGATTTCAAAGCTTCTGACGACAGGAATGATTATTTTCGTCTTCCTGCTGAGATGCGGGATGAAAGTCAATCATTAAGCTATGACGATTTAAAACAATCAGCGTAGGAGGGAACATGATGTCAGCGAAATCTGTGAGTGAACCACATTTAAAGTGGATCAATATTTGCCTTGTGTAAAAGTGATTAGTTACCGTCTCCAGACTTCATAGCTCCGACAGAGCACTTTCCAATTCCTTTATTTATTTCACTTTTTCTATTTTTATATTAGTAAAATGTCACATTACACAAAAGGTTGAATAACAGACAGACACAGGTGCAACAAAATCAGCAGACAACAGATACTGACACAGACACAAAACAAATATTGTGATACAGTGATACAGAAAACACAGGTTATGAGTAAGAGTTGGTACAGATGTGCAGGTAAATATGTTAATGAGAGAACTATTGAATTTGTGTACAAATGAGGAGGGAGAAAAGAAAAAGGAGAGGAAGTGAGAGGAAAAGTGAAAAGATTAGCATATACAGTAACGCCTAAACTATACTGGATTTTTTTTTAGGATTTTCAAAAAAGAAACTAAGAATAGCAATTATCAAAAAAGAATATATGATGTAATGTTTGTGAAGGTTATGTTTTGTGCAGTCACATATAGTTCATGAGCCTGGGTTATGGGCTCTATTGGTTTGCATTTGGGATCTATTGATGAGATGACACTGTAAATGTAAGATAGCTGTCTTCTGCTTGGGTTTCTATTTAACTTTGTCGATGTTGTGAATCTTCTACGATCATAATTTAATATTTTGTCTTATTTGTGTGTTTTGTGTGGACCCCAGGAAGAGCAGTCCTTTCTACAGTAATGACTAATGAGGATCCTGAATAAAGAATAAAGGATACAATACTAGACATCTTGAGCAGCGGTGGATTCACGGGGCTAGGATGTGATCATAAAACAATTATCTATGCATCTTAATGCATCAAATTATTTATTTATATATGATTTGTTTTTCTCCCTGTGTGACTACTTGCCATTTTTTATACATAATTGTAATGATAATGTAGAATAATTTACTTCCAATATCTTTTACTAATACATGAGGAGTAACAAATGGAAGCCCAGCCTTAGAACATGGATGCAGGATGCACATGATGACATCCATTACGTTTCATCATCCAGTAAGTTCAGCTGTAAGCAACATCCGGTCTTACATATGATCATAATGTCAAGAACTGGGTTTTAAATTTTTGGTCACTGACATTTCTGAATCATTTTTCCCCTCACCCCTTTGTTTGAAATGCTTAAACAGGTGTAAATTCGTAATAGCAGCGACTGTGTACATGTATGCATCCACACATTACCCCCTTTTGACCACCGTCATGACTAGTCTTTTCACAAAATCTCGGGCAAGTCTGTGAATCCATTTGAATCCGTATCGCTTTCTGTGATCAGCCACGCCACTCCACCTCCACCATTTTCACCAACTGGCATGACCACACATACACACTTGACCTTCATGCCAAATTTCAGCCTCTGAGGGCATAAACTGTGGCTGCCAAAGGGTGGCAAAATGTTTGTGGACTGACCAACCAGCAAAGCACCCTATAGAGCTGCTGGGCACAGCTAAAAATCTAATAATGGGGTGCCCCAGTGGGTCAGGGGTTAAGGGTTAAACTATATTTAGCAGATTCTGTATCGACCAGATGTGACTGCTCCCCGCTGAAAACAGTTGCTTTGACGGTGTCATCATAAAATTCGGCATTTCCACGATCAGTTACATTCATTAAGTCCTGGCGGGTGGCCAACTCAGTTGTAGTGCCACAGCAATCCCTGGCATCATGTTACCTTACACAGAAATGATCCCAGTGAGTTCCACAGCAAAGAGGTACACAGCTTTAGTATTAAGGGAAAAGACAGAACTGGTTTCACATCAGAAATCAGTATTGGCAGATACTAGGGTTGGACGATTGGAGGAATATATCAGTGATTGGCTGAGGGCAATGCTGGTCGTTTTGTTGTTCAGGGGCGGTTTTTGTCATTTGAAGAAGAATTACTAAAAGTCACTGCTCAACAGGCAGGGTGGAAAAAAGGCATGTACAGCCAGCATATTTCCACATTTAACTCTGTGAATTAAGGGTTTATTTCAACCAAACAAGAGTCAGTGATTGTTAGAACGATGTTAAGACAAACCGAAATTCTGACACATCCCCCAACCCTAGCAGATACCCTGAGCTGAGGTATCAAGAATTATACTGGGAGGGAAAAAGTTGGATTGGTGCGTTCCAATTGCGACCAAAATATGTACTAGGCAGGACAGTTTACAGTTCAGAGTGTATTTAATGGGATCACTGTTTTAAAAACTACCTCACACATATGTTTGGCATTTGTGTAATGCAGTTTCTTTCTGATTATTGCCCCACATAAAAGCCAATACTGACATATGTTAAGTAAATTTAATAATAACAGACAATATATTGTCCCTGATAATTTATCCGTAAAGCTCTAAAATACATTCCTTATTTGATTTTTCTTATCGTCACTGTATTTTTTTAAAGAGATTTACAGGTGTCAGTTTGGTCACGCAGACCTTCACGACAGGGATGGTCCAATGGAGGTCACATCCCACTTTCCCACATTGGATTGACCCCAGACCCTCCACATTTTTCCATTTGAAAGGATGAGTGAATGCTCATTTCCCCTTTACAGACTTCACCCACTTCATCAGCAGTGTTGCTCTGACCATCTGGGAAGCTTTCACACCAGAGGCAATTTGTGGAGGTTAGATATCTCATTGGCATGGAATGTATGCCCCGCAATATTTCTGATGAAAAACAACATCGTTTTCTGTCAAACAGGATTTCTACTTGACTGAAATTATAGGTTGTTGTTGACTGAAAAGGCTTATGAAAGTATAATCAGAACGAAAGTGGAATGATGTGGGGGGAAAAATGCTTTCAGACACTGAGAGGCGAACACAAATACCCAGTAGCCTTGAAGGCACCAATAACAGAGATATAGGCTACAATATAGTGCACCACACAGTGTAGTACATGTTGCTTTATCCTAAAGGGAGATTACCTAAAATGTTGTGGTACATGAGACGCATGAAAGCCAACAAATGTAACATATCCTTGCGATACAAATAGGTTTGTGCATATGAGTATATATTTAATTGTGAATGCATGTATGTATAACCCCACCCTTTAGTTCTACAACTAGTGGAAAATGCCTGCAGCACCTCCTGTGGGGAATCTGACAGATTTCCTTATCTTTCTCCTGCAGCATGGTAATGATTTTGCTCTCCACACACACACACACACACACACACACACACACACACACACACACACACACACACACATTGTCCTCTCCGCTCCCTGTCTAAATGTCCATCACAGGGTCTGAAACTGCTGCCCTGGGCTAACTCTTATCTCATTCAAAAACAAGGCAGCCTCCATCCGCCTCCATCCACAGCTTCAGACTCACATCACGGCGTGGCGGATGATTTCAGTGAGACATTATCCAAACAACATTCACGGACTTTTAACCCAAGTAGATGTTTGTGATGTAGACGTCCAGGTAATGAGTCTAATCAAGAAAAAAAGTCTGAGCAAAACTCTGCTGAAATCCATGTCCGTCTGTGTGTGTGTGTGTGTGTGTGTGTGTGTGTGTGCGTGTGTGTGTAGCGTATCACCTCAGCAGCTCACACCGTTGACAGATCAATGATGATTCTATCTGTTTGCATCTCTAACCATCTGCTTTGGTGCGTCAGTGGCATAGACATGTTTGGGTTTGGTACCACCAACCGTGCTGCCGGCAGCTTGCTGGAGTCTCGTCCGAAGAAGTCTGAGTCAATTAGTCTTACCATCTGCACAGAGGAATATTTCTCCCCTGCTGTATGCGGTGCTAAAAACAGGTCCCTCCACTTCTTCCAGTATTTTCCGAGACAAGTGTAAACCACCAGGCAGCATTAATTGCTTCATGAGGTGACAGTTAATTGTAATGTCAGCAACTCCCCTTTGTTGTGAAATGCCTGTGCGGTGAGTTAAGTTCCTCATTCATCCAGTGCTTCTGCTTTAAGCCACACTGTTACCTTACTGCTGTCCACAGCAAAACAACTGGACTTGACACTGGAACCATGGCTGTAATGTGAGCTGCAGAAATGTGACAACAAAGCTGAAAGAAAAGTGGTCAAACACAAAACTAGACTGTTCTCTGCTATGGACACTGGCTGATTTAAGTGCCTTGTTTATGGGTACTTCAGAGAGTCAGACCTATCAGCAGTGTTCCAGTTTCCTGCATCTCTACTGTCACAAGCAGTGTAGCAGTGTCAAACATAAGTTTTTGAGCAAAGAACAAACTGTATGTGGCATCAAAGACTTGAAAGTTGGCACTCATTGGTCAACATTGTGAAAGGGATAAATGATTTCTCTCTTTTCTTTAAGTTTGGATCCGTATTAGCATTGGCACTAATAGTGAAAAATGCCAATCTATACCCAGCCCTGTGAGGAACAGGATGTGATTATAGAGCTGATCTCAATAAGCCCATTAGGCCAATGACTGCAGCTTCTTTATCACCCAAACAACACAAAAGATTCCACTTACTGTGGCAGTATTGACAGGACAGACTCATTCATGTGCATGTACATCAGCTATAATAAAAACACTGTAACATAGCTAATGACCACTCATTCTCACTCATATTTAAAATGGTTACCTTGATTTAAAGCAATATCAAATTATAACCATCACCATTTAATCCACTGTCATGTCGTGTGAAGCCATAAACCAGCGACATTATACCCCCCATGAAAGGTGTGCACGCGACACAAAATGAGGATACTCTGTGCTTACCTAAATAATGGATGGAGTGAACCAGTGACCTGCTCCAGCCTCGCGCTCAGGCAACGTGTTGAACGCAGACAACATGATACACAGAACAATTAGTAGTAAATTAAACCGGGTGAATTCCTCCTGTAAGCGCACAGCATCTCGAAACGCCACCTAAGTTACAGTCCATCTCAGTACGGTGAAGTCCACAATGCAGTGTGGTGCTGTCCGTCCAGTAAAGCCTCTCGTGGTACCTGTTTGGACTCCTGGATATGATGTGTGCCTAGTTGAGCCGCATTAAACCGGCGAACACAGCCAGTCTCCATTAATGTCCCCAATTCGTCTCTACGCGGATGCGGTCAGCGCTACACGGCGTCACAGCCACGGCACGCACCTGTTCTCCGGCTGAATATTATAACGGTGAGAGGACAGGCGAGATAATATTCAGCACAATCTAACCTCAGCTCAGACCGACCTTCAAAATGTCTCGGCTCTGCTCTCTGATTGGCTCACAGCGACGTCGCTCATGAAATCCGCTTCGAAGTGGACCGTCACGGGCGTCTGGTAAATGTAGGCGCGTGCACAACCACCGCAGGCTGCTGGGTACAGTGAATAGTACTGCGACTTTAGTGTAGTACTGATATATGCCAACATATATGACATATACATGTACATATATATGACATACATATATATGCGTGTACGTGTGTGTGTGTGTGTGTGTGTGTGTGTGTGTGTGTGTGTAGACTATATAACTATTACACTATATATAAGTATATGTAGGCTATATTATAAGTAGCACGAAAGTATTACATATCTATCTATCTATCTATCTATCTATCTATCTATCTATCTAATATGTCCATATATATCTAGGCTGTATATATCTTTTTTGTATTTAGAAATAAAAAATATATTTAGAATTAGTGATCTTTAACAAGGGACATCTCATTAAGGTTCTACAAGAATTTACTTGGACAACTTTTTAAATCCATTTCATACAGAGTCCAAGTTGTCTGTGACAGGGTTGAAGTCAAAGCGACAAAAGCATTATCATGATTAGTCTTTTTTGCCTGAGGTGGGAAAATAGATTTTCTCAAGGGTTTAACTAGTCTACTATCAGATGTAGTGATCAGAAATACAGTTATTTGAGACCATTTTTTCATATGTGTTAAACTGTGCAATATCTATAGTATAAACTGTACAATATATATACATAGTTGTTGTTTTTTGTTTGTTATAGTTTGGGATTTGTAAATGCAAAAGTCAAAGACTATCTTGCCAGGAAAATATCCATGATTCAAAACTGTCTTTAACTGAATTGTACAAGTTTTATTTCCAATAAAAGGGCTGATTTGACATAATTGAATGGTGGGACTATAGATATTGCACAGTTTAGCATATA